AGTATTGAGAAAGTGATGACTTATTAACGTATTTATTTCGTCAATAGTAGGTATTTTGTCTTTAAGAAAAACAAATTAATGGAAACATGGTAATTGTGCGAGGCAGCCGGGTGGAGGTCGCTGCCTCTGGGGGCACAGCGGCGTGGCCGAGTCCGGAAGCGGTCAGGTACATACCGCGATAGTCCCTTCCACGGTCTCTCTCGCCGCAGAGGCTAACGCAATGATGGCGTTGCAGCCGCGACCGCGCTGTTCCAAGTGCGAGTTATTTACACAATTTGTTCTAGTCAGTTGTGTTCAAATTTCGAGTAGAAATTGGCTGCCAAGTTGAAGTGGTGGAATCAAAATTACTGTTTCTCTGCAGTCTCGTTTTGTTCAAAGTTGAAATCCGTTTCATCTACTTGATGTAAGATGTTTGTCTCTTGCACTCCAAATAAAGTAGTCGTCTGTTCTATTCGAGGTCGCGAATCTGTCTCCTTTACTCAAAGTCAAAATTATGTCTGTTGCGGTCAGCAAAGAGCAGCTACCTTGTAAATCTTCTCTCCCGCGCAAAGTCTCGTTCCCATGTCAATTTTCTTTTTTTCTTAATATTGTAAAGGAAATAATCGTCCCCAAAAAGTTTAATAATTTTATTAATTATTACCCAGAGTTAACTTTCGGGAAACACTTTTCCCATACCCAGTGAAAATTGAAACATATTTGAATGATTTAATAATTAATAAAACTATTAAAATTTTGTGGGCGATTATTTCCATTACAATATTAAGGATTACCACAAGATATCTGGAACCATCACGGAATTAATTTTTTTTTCTTTTCGTCCAATCGAATATGAGGAATTCCGCAACGCGGAAGTCGCATCGTCGCCTAAACTGCGGATTTGCTGGCCATGTCGTCATATGGCCTAGCTTCTAGAATTTTCCTTTGTTCTCGTACATCTGACTGGTTGTCCGTCCCTTTCTTCGTCTCTCGCAGTGTGCCTGACTCAAAAGTAGGTCACGATTGCTTTTGTGAGAAAAGCTTTCCTCGGTTGTCAACGCAACTCTACAGGACCTGGAAAGCTCTCGTCTACTGATGACATACTCCAGGGATGAGGTGGTCGAAAGGGGAGGCACGGAGGGTGATCGGTGCCCTTTCTTCCCAGATTTGTACTGAAGAGGTCGAATGCGACGAGTCTTAAGGCGGTTCCTCACATTCGGCATTCGCCGAGTACCGATCTACTGGTCGCCCAATCTCGAACAGCAGTGAGGTCGGTGAATGTAGTGGTGGGTAGAGCGGGCACCGAATGTTCGTCACTCGGCAAATAGCGAGCAACTCATCCATATTATTCGGGGTTCGGCGAGCGGTTGCTAGTTACTCGCCGAATAACGAATGTGTGGAGATATACCTTAACTCGGAACGTGTTCGTACAATTCCTCGCCGATTAGTAGTAAACATATGCGCATGACGCGGCGTTGTTCGCGGGTTGAGCTTAATGCGCCTGGATGGCTGAAAAATAAGGATGCTGCTCAGAAGTGTTAGATAATACTAAAATTTATGCGTGAAAAAAGATAAATTTCTCCCTGGCGACGCGTGGGCGTACGCAGGTGTGATGGCTCAGACACGTGGTCGGGCCGTCCGAAGAGCTGGCCGCTGCTCGTCAGGCCTAAAGAGGGTGCAGATTTACAATCTTCTAAGGCTCTAACCTTCTGCTTGACGGAGTGTGGGAGAAAAGGTTTTTTGCTTACAAAGGATACATTTTATGAAAAGAACGCTCCTCGAAATGAGGTTGTGGGCGACAACAGAGTCTGACACGTCGCAATATTGAATCGGTTTTATTTGATAACAATAAGCTATTTTAATGGAATAAGAAGTTTTATATTTAACTAGAAATTCTTATTATTAAATAATCATTATTACTTTATATTCCAATGTCTAACAAGAGTACATTATATATTCCTAATATCAAATCTATTCTATCTATCTAACACTATTTATTTATAATCGTTTACGAAATCGTATACAAAATATTAATCATTTCCCTTTCTGTAGAACGAGACTCATAATAGTTCCATGATTGCCCTAACACATCGTCAGAGAGATTTACTCGTTACCATCTCTTATTCATGTTCATAATGGTGGAAAATTTTCAGAAATATATGTTCTGATACCCTTCCTGGAATTACCTATGTTAAATATAGTCAATGTTATGTCAAGGCATTTTAGGTCAATATTGATATTAGAGATTGCTCTCATTATGCAAATAGGTCTACTTTTGCCACAAACCAGATTTAAGAGAAATTCCAGAGATAAAATAAAGGGAGGCATTCAGTCTAACCGCGCGTCGTCCCCGCTGTGCAATGGCAGACTGCTCCTCTCCCCGCAACTCTGCCTACCCTCATTACTCTTTACGTTGAGTGCAGATTTCCCGCGGAAGCAGGCAGTGTGCCCGATTGGTCTAAGGGTTACTGAATTATTCGAATAGGTACCATAGTGGGGGGAGGTTAAAATGCTTGACAGGAGAATACTGAAGAAAGGGATCGTCAGTGTAAAACTTGACGAGTAAAAAAGGAAATTAAACTAATCCTAAAGCCGCGACCGGTGTGTGTGGTGACGGCGCGTGCTGTGTGCGCAGAGGGGAAGTCGCTGGCGGCGTCGCGCGACTGCAAGTTCATCGAGACGTCGTCGGGGCTGCAGCACCACGTGGACGAGCTGCTGGTGGGCGTCCTCAAGCAGATCCGCCTCCGCGAGCAACGCGCCCACAAACAGCAGCGGCAGCAGCAGCAGCAGCAGCAACAGCAGCAGGGCGGCGGCGCCAAGTCGCCGCGCGCGCACGCGCCGCTCGCCGGCTCACGCACCTCCCTCTCGCTGCATATCGCGCGCGAGCTGCTGCAGAAGATGTGCCTGCAGGTGCGACGAGCCCCGTCCCGCACGCCTCGCCTCCGTAACCACCTCCGGTTCTGCCTCCGTACTCGCCTTTCGACCTCGCGCCTTACGTTACGGAGGTTCCGATTCGCTGACCCCGCATCCCCCTGCACAGTTGCCCGGCTCCGTTCCGCCTTCCGATTACGAAGTGCGTAACCGCTCGAGCCTGCGTAGCCGGCATTCCCCTGAAAACCCGGTGCGACTCGTGCATCGCGCTACCGCCTGGTACTGCTGCTACTGCCTGCGTACGACGCTCCGTATGCGCTCTGTATCTCCTCGTACCGCAGCAGTATACTCTGCCTATCTGCCTGCGAGTCTGTGATCCCGCCTGCGAACCCTGCGTACTACGCGTACCTCCCCGTATCCCGCTGCCGTACACGCTCCGTACCTCCGTACACGCCTCGTAACCGCATGGATGCCGATCATCCGTTAACGCTCTGTAAATCTCACCCACTACGGGCCTATTTTTCACAGAGCGGCCACTTGGGGGCTTGCATAAAATTTATACATTCCCTCGCCCGCCGCCCGCCACCTTCCTTTCCCATTCCAGTCGACCCGATCTCGCACCCTAACTCAGACCACTCTGCCCCTGCCTGCATTAGCCGTCCTCGCTTCATCCCGGAACCCTACGTATTGCTCTTTTAACCCGGCCCCGCTCCGTCCAGTGCCGCCCTTCATCCTGCGTCACCGAATACAGTTCGCTCCGACCTACACTCCCCGCCTCGCCACCGCTCGCGCCTCGGCTACGTCCTCACCACTTCCCGCTTCTCCACGGAACGCTTCGCTTTGCTGCTCTAATCCCCTCATCCCTCACCCGCCCCGCCACAGTTCGCGCTGCATCTGCCCCGTCCCGCCACAGCCGGGATTGCGCCGCCCCGCCTCGCCTGACCCATGTCTTTCTCGCTCTGTCTACATAGTGCGCTGTCGACTCAGACACACCGCATTCCGACCAAGAAACACGTACACACATTAACAACCCGTTGTATGCTCAAACGTTGCTTGTGTTGCTCAAACGTTGCTTACCAGTCCCGTAGATATAAGCGATTTAAATATTGCGGTTTTTATCACACAATGTCCTTCGGCTACTACTGTTTAGAACAAACAAGCTGTTTTACATAAACAAAATACCAACTTCTCTACGAGAAATTTCATATACAACGCGACGCCAATGTTTTAATAGCACACCCGAAAAAAAACGTGTGGTAAAGGGTATTACAGTACATTTGCTTTGATAATAGTGTCGGATAAGGGATTTTCGTTTCAATTGGATGAACTGAAAGAGTTCTAATCTTGAATTCTTCTCAGAAATACAGAAGCGAAACTTGACATGAAATGTGCATTCATATAGTTGCGCTTTATTGGTGATATACGCGAAACCATTTCCTGAATGTGTAGGCAAACTACAACTCGTTTATTCATTTGAAATATAATAGTTTAAAAGCGTTAATAATTCCTCTAATATGTATCACTCGAGTGGCCAAGTAAAAAATAACGAAATTTCTCATAGTAATCTTTCGTAATAAAGGGAGCGAAGAAATTCTGAAGTGCAACACATAAACATGCATACTTATAAACTCTCCAATTACAATCTTGCTTCGATCAATCGGGTAAAATTTAATTGAAAGAACTAATACAGTACGAACCCTTAAGATTGCAATTATTTTCGAAAAAACTTGAGTTTGAGCTGAGCATGGATCTGACGGGCAATTCCCATTAAACATTATCAATTAGTTCTTTAAGTCTCGTCCTTCTAGAACACGGCATTTTGCCCATCGATAAAGTTCAGATTAAAAAGCATTTCTATCAAGTGATGTCGTTTTTAAAGAGACTACTCTATATGTCTCACAAGTATGTGTACTGAATTCCATACTAATTTATTCCCTTTTGCAATTATATGTTTTTAAAATTGTAGAAAGGTTTCGGTTTAAGCAAAATACTTTCTGCACCCACAATGTTGGACAAAACGTGTGCATAACATGATAAACAAATTAATTTCAACACAGGGAACTTAAGTGATCCACGTAATATATCTACGTTAACTAGATAATATAATGATATAAAATGTCCATCAATGATTAGTGGTTTTGTGCTTCCTGCAGGATTCAAAGTCCAAGTCATGCGAGAACCTGCACGTGCTGTAGCCCAACGGCCGGGCGCCGCCTGGATCGGCTCGGCTCGGCTCTGATCGGCGCGCTTCGGGTCGCCTCGGCGCGGAGAGGTGCGGCTCGTTGCGTCAAGGCAGGCTCGGCTCCTCTCGCCTCGACTCGGGCGGAGTCGACTTGGATCGGAGCGAGTCGGTCAAGTCCGGCACGGGTCGCCCCGGACCGGTGCGCTGCAGCTCCCTCCGACAACCTCCAGGTATCAGGATCGACTCGGCGGGGGTGCCGTCTGATCGGCTGAGCTGTAAGACGGCCGAGGCGCCGCCGCCGGGCGGGGCCCGCCGTCGCCCTGCCCGCCGACCGCCGCTCGGCTCGAGCCCGGTGGAGTCGTTTCAAGTCGGCCCTGCTCGGCGCGAGTCGCCAGGGACCGGCTCGGCGCGTCTTGGGTGGGCCCGGCAAAGCGTGCCCCTCCCGGGTTTCGCTAAGCGCGTGTGCCCTTCCCGCTTCCGAGACTCAACCGTCTCCCCGCCCCGTGCCCCACCGCCGCCGCCCCTGCTGCACAGTGAGTCTGCACCCGCCCCATCCGCCGTCGCGCCTGACGACGAGTCGTTTCTGCTACATGGCATCCAGAGTCTGCTGGTTCTCTTGACGTTTGGTTTCAAATGGTGGGAGAAACGCGATGTTGTGGAGTCGTGCACTCACCACAGTACCTCAAATGGGATAGGAACTCCAAGAGGTCATTCAGTGTGAATTCTTGTGCTAGGCTCAGTAAAAGAGAGAATGCTAAAAGCCACGGTCACGAAAAGAGAATCTTTTTGCGAAATATTTTTTTTAGAAAGCAAGAGAAAGAGATTTCCTGATAAGTAAAAATGTAGCACAATGTATTGTTTCCAGCGTTAATCATTCACAAAAACTGTTAAGAGGAGAGGGTACCGACTATGTTAAACTTGCTACTATTGATGTACCTTTTATACAAAATAGTTAACTAGAACATTTTGATAATTCATACAATTAAATATAACATCTTTTTTATTACTTTGGCAACTTTTGCCCTAATTTTTTCAGCATTTTTTGACAAACATTATTTTTTTATTATTGAAAAATGTTTATACAAAAATGTCCGTTTATCTCTAAAACTGTAAATAATATATCCTGTAATTTTTAGTAAATTATAAATAATAGTTTATGTGAAAAGTTACATTAATTACAAAATCAGTACATTTTCGGAAAACGCCCTTTGAAAAAAGTCTGTACTAGCCGCTACTCTACTAGAACATTCTGCTCCGTAGTCTGGATAATTTCTTCACAGTAAAATACTAATGCTACCTTCGTCTGAAAAAGAACGTGTTTCAATAACTTATTAACAATAGGCGTTTAAAATTACGAACATATAGCAATACTTGGGTGCAGTGTCAATGAAAAGGGGGCGTTGCTCATTCGCACTTAGACATTTGAATTAGAATTGAAGGGTACTCCAGGCATCCTTCAAGAAGAAAAAGGTTGAAATATTTGGAAAGAGAAAGATTATTTATTTAGCTAAAAAACGAAAATCGATCATTTGACCCACTTCATGGTACCCTCTCCCCTTAAAGACATTTTCATGTCACTCATGACTCGAAGCAACCGTGCAATTTTCGAGATTTATTAGTAAAGTATAATGGAGGTTGGATTATTGCGACTTCAAAAACATGGATGCATTTATTCTCTAAAAATAATCGAAATATCTTACAAAATCAAAATATTGCGTCCAATATTTTGTTGGAAAAGTTATTTAGGTTTATATTAATTTATTTTACTTCGGCTCTTGACATTTCTGTTAAGTCTGTTGTTGGTACCGTAATATTATGTACTACTTATGTGCTACCAATTAGAATTATATAATAATCAATTCTACACTTGTATTTGATAATAATTGAAAGTTATCTTGCAATTCTCACTAATAAACTGATAAAAATTCATTTGATTATGTGAAATTCTAAAGCTTCCTGATATTTAATACAGATATTTATTGATTCATGTCATTAAGGGAATGCGAATATTGTTTTTGCTATCGACTTAAAAATTAATTATTTATCTTGCAAGTAAATAAATTTAAAAAAACATATATGGCTAGTAACTTATTGCGTGTGGAATATAATGTGAATGAAATTAAAATAATAAGACTTCTGAAAGGTTTGCGAGCCTTTGAAGAATACAAAAATACTGGACATTATTAGGTGTTGTGTAGACCAATAAAAGCATCTCTCTTTCACCAACCTTCTACGATACACCCGAATTTTACATTCCAAGAAACTACGTGATCACGAAGGAAGTGAGTTTTGTAACGAGTTGTGGCTTTGGTAAAACAATCAGTCAAACGGTATGAAAATGTAATGTAATAATACTCTCTTTGTAGAAAAAAGTGCATACACTTGTCATTCAATTTCAAGATTTCTTGGCAATATGACAGTTATCGTGACCATCTAGTGTCTAATCCTTTTAGATATGCAATTAAAACAATGTTAATTGAAAAACCTGCAGTTTCATATTTTTTAAATAAATTCATTTACTTGGGTAACCAGTATTTTAAAATTTGTTCACATTATTTCAGATCAAAAACACTGGAATATAATGTTGCAGGGAAAATAATATTCTATTATATAAGACAAAGCAAAAGACGAACTTTGTTTCTGATAAATATTAAAGTTCTGAGACATTGACCTTTGGCTTTACTCTTGACATTCACTTATTCTAACATGGAGTTGGTAAATGTATAAAAAGCAACAGAAAAAATATTAAGTTTTACAAACACAGGTGGTTTTAGCATTTGATGCAACACTTCATTAAAAAAACACATAATTTGTTGTATATTGTTTCAACTTTTATGCTTTATGCACTCAAACGTGGATAAGTGGGAAACCTCTTACTATGGTTGTTATGTACCGATATTTTTATACAAATTATTAAAAATTACATATTAATACAAACTATTATTGAAAATGTAAAATCTGTTTAACTGGAACCGCGTTTCATCCAGATTTGTCTAGGTGTTTGCCAACAGAGGACGTGTCATTCTTTAATTTCTCAAAAAATTTAAATTTTCCAAACTTTTGAAATCATTTCTAACTTTATGTCAACATTAACATGCACCATCCGAATATTCCGTAGAAACCTAGTAGATAGAACGTGTCCGCAGAACTTTTAATCTAAAGAATGCACATCCCAAATGTTGCAACAAAAGTTAATTCTTTACCGACGAGTGAATGATTAAAAGTACTGCGTGAATGTGATAAATGCAAGAAGCATAAATAACTTTGTTAACCATTTAATGTGATAAAATCGACTCTTATACTTAAATGTTTTATATACAGTTTACGAGTATTAAACTGTATTTCACAACACGTTGCTTATAAATAATTTTTCTTGTAATGGAATTGCACCCCATCAAGCTATTATTCACAATTAGATCATCTTTGTTAGAAATAAAATCTTAGCCCTTTTGATCTACAAGTTTTGGCATCCATTATAAGAGTACAATAAAATATATGTACAATTATGGCAAAATAGATGAATTCCAATAACAGTAATACTGAGGCGTCGATCAGCCAAATTCTGATTCTATACCTATTAGCAGTAGCTGTTTCTCAAGGCCGGAGAAAAGGACGAATGATCTCTCATATTGTCTTCTTTGGAATTGAATTTCCGAATAATATTTTTGCTTTGATATATCAACGAAAATTGACAATTTTGTAGTTCAGAGCTACCAGGCAATTTACTTCTAACTAGTTTCAATTGCGCGTGCTTTTTAATCGACGTGAAAACTCCAAAATCGCTTTGAGGACCAAATCGCATCACTTCTTCCTCTCGTGTAGTAATAGTGCCTATCACAGAGCCCTGCAGCGGCCAGAAATATTTTCTAATGCTACTCCAGGTCCTGAGTGAGAAGTTCCGCTTGTAAACCGCCACCATTTGCCGCTTATTTGAATCAAAATTTGGCTGCTGAGCGCCCACAATGACCGCGTGTCATGACCAACCCCATGGCCTGGGGGAAGGCAGTTGCGGGTATTCTCATCTCACCCTGTGGAATTGTCATGAGCCATGGGCCTGGAAGAAGGCAGCTTGGGGTAATTTCATCGCGTCTCACTCTGTGGAAACGTCATGGGCCATAGGCCTGGAGGATGGCAGCTGGGGGTAATCTTATCTCATTGTGTGGAATCGTCATGAGTCAAGGGCCTGGAAGAAGGCAGCTTGGAGTAATCGCATCTTATCTCACTCTGTGGAAGCGCCATGAACCATGGGCCTGGAAGATGGCAGCTGGGGGTAATCTCATCTCACTCTGTGGAATCGTCATGAGGCATGATCGTGGAGGAAGGTAGCTCGGGGAATCTCAGATCACTCTGGGAATCTCAGATCACTCTGGGGAAACGTCATGAGTCGTTTGCCTGCCGGAAGGCAGTTGGGGGTAATCTCATCTCACTCTGTGGAAGCATTGTGGGCAGGCGTAAATCCATATCAAAGTGCAAATCGAACCGATACATGTCTTTTTCCTTTTTTTCAATTCCAAGATGTTAAACCGTGAGATTATTATTGAAAGCATTTTGTTAGTCAGTGAAGAGGGGTTGTCTAACAAATGTGTAGTATTCTTCTAGTGCTTCCTTCATAATGTGATTTTTGCGGTGACAGACAGCTGAGATCAAGAATTAAGAGATGTAACCAGTTTCTCTTGCAAGGAACAATGTACACTTTAAGCAAAATGACGTGTTTTGATCGGATTAATCGACATTGTTTGTGTATTTGTGTGACATACGCAACAAATTTGTTGTATGTTCTTATTAGTGTTGTATTTGCAATTGACTTCTTTCTTTTTCTTAAGAAATGCATAAGAGTCGCCACAGCATGTTGCCATGCTATAAATGTAAACTCGTATCATAGTACCACTTGCAGAGAAAGTACGTGCTTGTATTAGGAGTACTGAACACTTGCTAAAGGAATAACAAAAGGAAATGCCGAAATGCCGAAAATTTAATAGAATCAGGTTTCCTGAGATTTTTATGTATCAAAATCAATATTTTTAATTGGAATAAAAAAAATGACTTTGCATAGGATTCTTGAAGAATGTATATTAGTGGCTAAATTTAAACAACGCAATTCTAAAATGATGCAAGTTTTTAGTAGAGAGAACAATGATCCACATTTTCAATTAAAAGCTAATAAAAATGCGACCAATTTCCGTCAATTTAACAAATTACCAGTTAATATATTTGATACATGTCATCAGAATTTTTTGGGGTGATGTATCAATATATCCAAATTTTGAGATACGTGTTGTTAAAACTTCACTATCGAGGTGGGTTACGGTCAGCATTGGTATTCATACATGAAACTTAAGTTGGTAAATGTTTTCAATTTATCTTTCTTTAGATAGAAAGTCGATCGAATACCTCTTTACCTTCGGTAGTTTTCGTTTAATGTTTTGTTTCCTTCCATAATACAATGAACATAGAAACACGCACAATACAACTCTAAATCTCCTGCAAGATTTTTCCAATCAGTAAATAAGTTGAACTAAATTTTTGCTATTATGATAGCATTACTTTTTATTTGAAAGTCACTTTTAAGTGGGCCCAGACCCTTTTCGATCGCATATTCTTCGTAGAAATGAAGGGTCCGTAGATGATGTTGAGTAAAGAAGGTATTTGATTCTGAAGCGGCGCTCTTGAAGAATATTGCCGCTAAGCATTGTTTTAGAAGATTCGAACGTCGCAAGACTTGTATTCGCCCTGATCAGAAACGTATTGTTATGTTAGAAATTTCAGGTAAATCCACAATTGACATTAAGAAATTTCAGAACTTGCTTGTAAGGTCCGTCGTAATTATTTGTTGAGGTCTACACCTAGGTTGCTGAAATGTATTGCAATAGAAGTAAAATAAAGAATTTAACATAAGATATACCATAAACCCGGAAAAAATGGGTTTAAGTGGTGTCAGTTCCTTCTCGATCTCGAACATATGCTATAAATGAAGGCCCTGTGTAAAGTACGTCTGCGGTTCTGAAGCTGCCCTTTTTGAAGACAAGGAGGGCTTACAGCGTCCTTCGGGAAGCGAGAATCGAAGTGGCGGGGAAGCCCCCTCGCTGGAGCGAAAGGCAGGGCTGCTAACCCCAACGCACTGCATGGAGGTTCTTTGCTCCATGCGTGGTCAATCCATTCAAATCCTACAGAAGAAATGCGTCTTGTCTGTGGCATGTCTGGGATGTTGCATGTACGGGCGCTACTGATATAAGGTTGTATTCGTTCAGTTTGCTCAGTATAATGTTATAAACTTCTAGTGTTTGTAGAGGGATCGAAGATTTGCCCATGGACATGGTATAAATGGAAATATTGTACAGTAATCCCTCGGTATCAGTGAATTCGCTATTTGCAAGTCCGAATATTCGTGACTAGAGAAATGCTACATGCTACAAGAGTTTTAACATTCGCGAGTGTGTCTTTTAGTCGAACTACATATTTTTTGGAAGCGAGTACATTTCATTTTCTTTATTAGCGTCATTTGTGAAACGAAGTCGGTAGACACCGGACACCAAATAATCACGTTCTGCAAAAAGTTCACAATAATGAATGACAAATGAATGTCAGTTCACATTAACTGAATTACACAATTATAAAATAATTCAATCCAGTTGCGTCATGTTGGAGGTAAGGGTTTTTGGCCACATGATCAAAAAAGCCATTCACAATCTGTGCAACTCTCATTACAATGATCTGACTGAAGAGATTCGGAAAATCCGCAGTGAAGGAAAACTCCTGAAACTGATAAAGTAACGGAAGCGAAACTTCGACTTGACGCAACTTCAAATTCAAAACTATTCTCTTCGTCAAAATGACGGTCTAAATCTTCAACAAGCTCTGGTGGCAAGGCCATTCGAATGCGATCCAAACGTGGAAATAATATCAAAATTTAAGAGAGATGTAGAGACAGAAACTCTTAGATATTTGTATAGTAGACCAAGGTAAGAGTGATGAAAGAAAAAAATAACTAAATCATACATGCAATTACTTTAAACTTTGAAATAAGTTTCAAATATTGTTTTATTTCTTCTTTTTGGTATGTTACCTATGAATTCTATCTGTAGTAGCTCTTCCTCACTTCTACTGCAATTGCCGGTTATTTTTTCTGTTTTAAACCGTTTTATTTTTGAATATCCAGGAACCTAACTCAACTTTCTTTAGTAAAAGATAGACACAACATTCGCGGATTTGATATTTGTGGTGCTTTTTGGGTACCTAAATGTCGCGAATACTGAGGGATTCTAACAAATAAAATATCAAGTACAATAAAGTTTACAATAATTTAGATCATTTTATTAAGACTAGCAATATTAGGATAGTTTAACATTGTTATTTTATTCTTTATGTAATGTTTGGGATATTTGAGTCTGTTACATATTTTCGTACAATATGGAGTTTGGATGTCGAAAGATTCCACTAGTGATCCTATAACTTAATAATACACATTTCAAATGTTCTTATAAGGTCATATAAAGAACCGTGTATATGCTAGTCAACATTTAAAAAATAAGTTGCGTTTTTAGGAGTTAAGTCAGCTTTTTCATTTCCAGTCATTCCCTTATAGGAAGGGAGCCATGACAGTAGAATGCTAAAACCTGAAACAGAACATTCTAACTCTAGGTTCTGTCTATATAAACTGCCTCATATCCACTAACGACACTTGCTTTCTGAAACCTTTTATTTCGCTTGAAAAAGTCAAGCGAATTTATATATATATATATATATATATACTATTATATATATATATTATATATATTATATAATATATATAAATTTTTGGATTAAACGTACTAGTAATTGTATGATATCAATGTCCCTGAGGATCAGAATTTGATGAATAAATCCATCGCGTGTCGCACACTTAATGCACCTAAGAGCATATTTGAAATAAGAAAACTAATTTCTTGGTGGATACGACGATTCATATATTTATTCCAATATAGCACCAAAGGCTTTACAAGTCGCATTACAGTTAGCAATACATGGGAATATTATAATGAAATATTTTATTTTTATGAGCGAAACTTCATAATGCACCTACTAGGTAATGCGGTAATTGTTAAAACAAAATTATAGTTAATTTTGTTCGATTGTTTGTGGAAATGTATTTATTTATTAGCCTTTCACCCGGCAGCCTTCTCGACGCTCCTCTCTCACCTAGTCGCCCCCCCCCCACCACCACTACCAACCAACGCCCCGCCCCCGCCCGCGCCCCTCTCCACTCCAATCTCACCGCCCCGCTGTACATTGAGGCAAGATCTCGAAAAGCTGTCCAAAAGTCGAAAAAAATATTTAGGGAATTTTAAATAAGCATTTGGGTAGACTGGTTCCCAGAGTATCTAATTTCACCGTTAAAAAAGGTCTAGCGACGTTCTGCATCATTAGAAACGTAGTCGTTGGGCGAGCAGCTGTTTTCGCTTTTGTGCAATTTTCTTCATTCAAAATGAACGAAAATAGTAATTGGGAGTGCAATATATTAAGTATTACAATACTTAAAACGCGTAATAAAATTATTTAAATAATAATTAATATTTAAAAATATACAGTTAATTTGTTAGTTTTTTATGATAGAATCAGTTAAAAGTTCCACAGAGTTCCACAAAAAAATTGTAAAAACTACGTTTTTTACTATTTACCTACTGAAATGTCAAAAAAGCTTCTTGTGAGCTGTTAGTCTGCATTTCGTGTAGAAACATTTTTAGACGTTTTTCAATTTTTAATCCACCACATTGGATTTGCCTTTTTATTTTTGACCATGTTAACTCTGAAATCGGAATCAGCTAACCCATACAACCCTGTTTATAATTTTTTATGAAAATTGAAAAATTTTAGATCGTTTTTAAAAAATTTTAATCCCTCATATTGGGTTCGCTTTTTTTATTTTGTTGCAATGGAGTATACCAGATCCATGATACTGTAACAAGGAAACTTGTTAAAGTATCATGGATCTGGTATACTCCAACGGTTCTTTTTTTTCGGTGTAACATTGAAATCATAATCATCGTGCCCAGAAACCATTGTACACAAAGTTTGATTAAAATTGGATACCGTTTTCATATTTTGGCTATCTTTTTGAGATTTTGCCCACATGTACATGCCCACCGCACTGCCTCCAACGCTCTGTCCCCGAACGGCGGACGTCAGCATTCTTTGTTCATCGTCGTTTCGCACCGTGCATCCGCGTTTCAACTTGTACAGGGAGTGGCGATCAGACACTTCAAGTTAGCATTAATTCACAATTTACGCTTGTTAATGCAGCATAAAGTGGTTACAATTGCGTTGCAAATCATAGAAGCTGCCGCCATCTACTCAAATGAAAAAAATATTTTAATAAATGAAGAGTGGATTATTTTTAACAAGTGTAACATACTAATAGTGTAAAAATTTTCATAAAGAATTGTGGTCTGTTTAGAGATGTAACTCAACGCCTCTTTGGATAGAAAATATTGGTGAATCATTTTCATTTAAAAGAT